CACATGAAGATGACTCTGCGCGTGATGAAACATTAGCCGTAGGATCGTGCGGCAAGGTCTCGTGAAGGTTACAAGCAAATCAAACTGCTCGAAAAAGTAATAAAGGAACGACTTTTATTATCTGACTCTGTGGGACATTTCGTCGAGCAACTTGTGCTCACGATACCAAGGCAGAACCAAGAGTCATTTTGTTAGCCRAAATTTCAGTAGATTCCGAATTTGATTGAAGTTTATAACAAAAAAAGCTGAAATGAAACAAGAAAATACAAAAGGCACACTCGAACATTTTCAAAGTAAAACAGAGTTTTGCATCAATGCCATCTAGACTGAGAACCCCAAGAACTGCGACACTCTTAGTTTTGGGCAGCTCCAAGTTTCAAACTTTCAACCACATTAGCCATAAAACAGCAAAGTTTTGATTCTGAAGCCAAACCATCTGCTACTTTTCCAATAGACTTTAACTCTTCATGCAAATCCGAGTGAAGAACCAGAGTAGAGAAGTTCTCATCGATAATAAAACCCAAACATTTGGTTATGTCTTCGAGTTTAGGAATCCAGTTGCATAGTTTCAAACCGAGCTTGGGCGCAGCTGTAGGGCATGGACCAGCTTGAGGGAAACTCTCGTACTTCTTCATCCATTTAGAGAGGTATCGAAGAAAGCTTCTCATCTCATTGCCACTCAACTTACTAACTGCAGATGCAAACATGACTTCATCGACATTAGACGAAGCTAACAAGTAATGCAAGCAAAGCTCAGAGGGTGAAAACCCGTCGTGAGCAACCATCAGCAAGATAGAAGCATCCTCAGCAACTGTAGACTTGTTTGATACCTCTTGGTTGCTCGCCTTTTCAATAGCTAACAAAGCCTGATTGTCCCATTCTTCTCTTACCTTAACCATACTGCTAATTGCTTCCTTTGACGGGCAAAGAAAATACTTCAAGATCGAAAGAAGCTCATTCGCTCCAAGATCTGAAGCTTGTTTGATCACAGAACATAGCAAATCTGACCGTTGCTTCTCAACAAGACCGCTAACTAAATAAGAGTAGGAAGAATGATCAACCAAAGACTTTGAAATCAAGATTTCCACTAGCTCCCACATTTCTAGACGAATACAACCTCTCAAAACTAAACCAGATACATCTCTACCCATCAGAAACCCATTTTTCCCTACCAAATCCTTTAACTCTTCATCAGACTCAACTTCTTCCTGTGGTTTTACTAAAACCCCAACTTTCTCACCAATTTTCTCAAGAAACTGCTTCAACATAGTGACGAACTCAGGTTTATCAAATCTGTTCGTATCCTTAAGCTTCCTTTTGAGCTTAGACGAAAAGCTTTTACCCAAATCGATGATTTCAGAATCGGTTTTAGAGATATCCCACCCAGAAATTGGATTGATAAGGTTACCAAGATTAGGGTTTTCTAGCTTCGGTTTCAGATTTGAGAAGATACCATCGTTGCTAAGAGTGAGTGGGTAATCGGTTTGCGAGTCGACTCGGTCCTGATTCGTTACGGCGTTGGAGATAACTTCGAGCAGCGTCATTGCGAGACAACAAAAGAAAAACCAAACTTGATCCGAAATCTGTAAGAACAAAGAGAACCCACAAAATAAAAACCATGAATTTGGGCAAATACGCAAACAAAAACGGAAGAATTCCACGAAGAAGATTACTCTCAGAGAAACAATGTTTTAGGGTTGTGGAGCTATTTATGTTTTTACCTTGACGAGGCAATTAGAGCAAACGCTTCCGGATTGTAGAGAGACAAGAGAGAGCAAATTCGAATCTCCCAGAACTCGATCTGCGAGGTTAAGGGGACAGAGAGAGATAAAAGATGTAAAAAAAAGGAAGAAGGCGAACAATTAGGGTTTAGGGTTTTGTAATTGGAACACTACTTTTTTGCGTTTTTCTGTATTTTCAAATTTACCCCTACATTTTGTGGATTTTGGAGTTGGACCCAAATTGGATTTGGGCAACGACGAATTTAGCTGATGTCTTCCAAGTCCTAATAAGTAATAACCAC